GGGCCGTTGGACGGGTCCGCGGGCGCTACGAGGGGTCCGGCCGGGTGGATTCGGGCGTCATGGGTGCCTAATGTAGCTCTGGAGAGGGTAGCTTCCTTTTTGTTTTTTTTCCTCACGACCCTCGCGTGGGGTGAGGGAAATGGCCGAGCAGGACTGGGGCCACGCGCCGGCCGAGAGCAGGGCACGGTCCCTGCGTTGGTTCCTCTTAAGCTCTGTCCGTACCCTCCCCACTTATTGTAGGAGCTGGAAGCGATCAAAGCCCGAGTCAGGGAGATGGAGGAGGAAGCTGAAAAGCTAAAAGAGCTACAGAACGAGGTAGAGAAGCAGATGAATATGAGTCCACCTCCAGGCAATGGTGAGTAACTGGCGGTTGCACGCGGAGCCCGGGTCCTTGGGTTGGCAGGATTGATTGTGGGGAGCGCGGGGAAGGTGGGATTCGATGCTCGGCACCCTGGAGCTGCCTGTCTGAGCAATTTCTGGGCAGGTGCCGCGGGCATAGTCCATTGTGTGTTCCCCTGACCTTTGTGAGACACAACCTGTGTTTTGGTGGTGGATAGTCTTGTGCCTCCCTTTGTCCTTGTTATAAATGTGTTGTTCTTTGTTCTTAGTCTACCTTTATCCTTTGTGGAGGTTGCTAGCTGGCATTGACCTTCAAGTCCAATAGTTTTTCCTTCAATTGGGAACGCTTTAGTTAAGATTTCTAAGAGAAAGACTGCTGCAAGGGGCTTCTCTTTTAATCTGGAAATGTGGAGTCTCAGCACTTAATTTGTTCACTCTTCAGAGCATTTCATCCAAAGCTATTCAATGGATACTTGACTTGGGGGTGGGAGGATTTCTCTGCTGTTCTCAGTGATTTTAAAGGATGTATTAACGTGTTCCTTGATTTGTATATAATAGGTGAGCATCTATGATGTAGCAGGCACTGTTATGTAGGTAATGGGTACAGCAGGGAATAGAACAGACCAAAATCTTTATCTTCGCTGAGCTTATAGTATAGCATTGGTGATGGAGATGCATATGTTGGTCAGGTAAAAATCAATCATCTTTTTCGCTTTTTTGAATTATTTTTTCCTCGTAGCTGGCCCAGTGATCATGTCCATTGAGGAAAAGATGGAGGCTGATGCTCGTTCCATCTATGTTGGCAATGTACGTAAGAGGGCTGTAAAATGGGTTGGGGGAGTCAAGTGCTTATTTTGGTGGTGCTTAATAGTCTTAAAAGGGGATTGGGTTCAGTGACTCATGCCTGTAATCCCAGCACTTTGGGAGGCTGAGGCAGGAGGATTGCTTGAGCCCAGAGGTTCAAGACCAGCCTTGGCTACATAGACCCTCTGGCTCTACAAAAATTAAAAAATTAGTTGAGCATGGTGGCACATTCCTATTGTCCCAGCTACTTGGGAGGCTCGGGTAGAAGGATTACTTGAGCCCAGGAGCTTGAGACTTCAGTGAGCCACTGATCCCATCTCTTTAAAAGAAAGTCTTGAAAGGAACATCTCCAGGGTAGGTGGTGGATTTGGGTGTGGTGGTAGTGTTGGGTGGAGGTAAAAGATAATGGAGTGATCAGTAAGGGTTCTGGGTTTGGAAGGAAAAGGGATTAGTTTCTTAGAGAAGAAAATTTGATGTGCCTTAATGTGTATATATGACCCAGATCAAAGACTAGGCAGGATACCTAATGAGACAGAAGTTTGCCTGGTACCTGTGAAATGTCTCCCCTTTCCTCAGGTGGACTATGGTGCAACAGCAGAAGAGCTAGAAGCTCACTTTCATGGCTGTGGTTCAGTCAACCGTGTTACCATACTCTGTGACAAATTTAGTGGCCATCCCAAAGGGTAAGTAGGGGAATAAGTTGATAATTTTAATTGCAGTTTTAAAATAAATTGACTGGGCACGGTGACTCACACCTATAATCCCAGCATTTTGGGAGGCCAAGTCAGGAGAATTGCTTCAGTCCCAGAGTTCAAGATCAGCCTAGGTGACATAGCAAGACCTCATCTCTACAAAAAATAAATAGCCAGGTGTGGTATGCACCTGTAGTCCCAGATACTTAGGAGGCTATTCCACTGCACTCCAGCCTGGATGACAGTGAGACCCTGATCCAAAAAATTTTTTTGTTTTATGTTGAGCAATAAGTTATTTGCAGTTAAAACAAGTGGTCTGTGTCTTCTAAGATAATGGCATTAATGTTGGCATATATCAGAGATTGTACCTAAATGCCTTCAGAGACCATGCAGATAACAAAAATGAAGGCTAGGTACAGGTGGGATTACAAACTAGAAGGGGAGGGGCAGCTTCTACTTAGCCCTAGCAGGTTATGGCCTTACGGGAAATTAGGCCCTGTGTGTCCTATTTTGCAAATTTCAAAGAGCAACTAGAAAATCTTAAAATCTTTTAAAAATTGTTGACAAGTATTAAAAGTATCAACACATTTTCCCCAAACAAAACATGCCTGCAAGTTGAATTTGACCTATGAGCTATTTGTAGCCTTAGGGAGAGAAAGTGACGATTATTTTTTTCAGTTTTGCTTATATAGAGTTCTCAGACAAAGAGTCAGTGAGGACTTCCCTGGCCTTAGATGAGTCCCTATTTAGAGGAAGACAAATCAAGGTAAGTCCATGCCCATTGCTGTTCTGGTTCTGTGTAAACTCTGCAGGTTGACTCAAAGGCTTTCACTTGTACAATCCCTTACTGTCAGGTGATCCCAAAACGAACCAACAGACCAGGCATCAGCACAACAGACCGGGGTTTCCCACGAGCCCGCTACCGTGCCCGGACCACCAATTACAACAGTTCCCGCTCTCGATTCTACAGTGGTTTTAACAGCAGGCCTCGGGGTCGCGTCTACAGGTCAGGATAGATGGGCTGCTCTTCTCTCCCGCCTCCCATGAGCCCCATATGCTTCCTTCTCACCTCATTTGAGGAACCTCCTTCCCCTTCCCTTCCCCTTGATCTCCAGGGACTTGGTCTCCTGCCTGTGCAGGGTGAGGAAGGTAGTTGCAGGCCAGACCAGGCGACCAGTTTCATCATCTTTTCTGAAGCAGGAATTGGTGACAAGGGCTGAATCTCTCCATCTGTTCTGAGAGATGCTTCCTCCCCCAGCCTTTTTTTCCTTGGGAGTTGGTGGCAGTTAAGATGTTTACACAGATAGCCAGGAAGATTAGGGACTCAAGGCAGGGAAAGCACTGTTTGGATACTTGTTACTTTTTTCAGAGTTAGGGAGGAATTGAAGTTTGAACCTTCCTTGGAAGAATACCAGGGGTTAGTTGGTCCTCCCCAACAGTTATGTGGGAGGAGAGGTATTTACCCTTTATTTGAGCCAGTCTTGGAAGGTTAACTTTTTCTCTGGGCCTAGTGTGGTGCCCATGTTTTGCTTGACTTTGCTTCTGTCTCTTCACATTTTAAGTAGATGAGTTAGTCATGTATCTTGGCTTTTCATGAGACCTACCTATCTGTTCTCAGGAGTTAGGATCTGCTGGTGTGAGTCTAGGGTTTAAGAGCTGTGGAGGACTGAGAAGTGGATAAACAGTGGGTCCTTTTTCTTGCCCCTGCAGCTCACTCAGATGTACTTTATTGCCACTGTTTGGCAGAGTGTTCTGTTAACTCCCCAAGCCCCCCCTCCCCTGTTTGCCAGGTGTGTTGCAGCCTTTGGGATTATGGGGTCAGTTTTAGGACAAAACTACTTTTCCCCCCCTTCCCTTCACAGTAACTGGGGCAAGCCCTTCACGGTAACTGGGGCAAGGGCCCACGGGGAGGGGCTTGTTCTGAATTGTCTTGTTAACACCTAACTCTCCTTCTTTCTTCCAGGGGCCGGGCTAGAGCGACATCATGGTATTCCCCTTACTAAAAAAAATGTGTATTAGGAGGAGAGAGAGGAAAAAAAGAGGAAAGAAGGAAAAAAAAAGAATTAAAAAAAAAAAAAGAAAAACAGAAGATGACCTTGATGGAAAAAAAAAATATTTTTAAAAAAAGATACACTGTGGAAGGGGGGAGAATCCCATAACTAACTGCTGAGGAGGGACCTGCTTTGGGGAGTAGGGGAAGGCCCAGGGAGCGGGGCAGGGGGCTGCTCATTCACTCTGGGGATTCGTCATGGACACGTCTCATCTACGCAAGCTGCTCCCTCTGTTTCCCTGCCCCACTTCACCCCCTTGGGGGCTGCTCAAGGGTAGGTGGGCATGAGTGGTAGGAGGGCTTTTTTTTACCCAGGGCTCTGGAAGGACACCAAACTGTTCTGCTTGTTACCTTCCCTCCGTCTTCTCCCCGCCTTTCACAGTCCCCTCCTGCCTGCTCCTGTCCTGCCAGGTCTACCACCCACCCCACCTCTCTTTTCCGGCTCCCTGCCCTCCAGATTGCCTGGTGATCTATTTTGTTTCCTTTTGTGTTTCTTTTTCTGTTTTGAGTGTCTTTCTTTGCAGGTTTCTGTAGCCGGAAGATCTCCGTTCCGCTCCCAGCGGCTCCAGTGTAAATTCCCCTTCCCCCTGGGGAAATGCACTACCTTGTTTTGGGGGTTTGGGGGTCTTTTTTGTTTTTCAGTTTTTTGTTTTGTTTTGTTTGTTTCCTTTGCCTTTTTTTCCCGTTTATTTGGAGGGAATGGGAGGAAGTGGGAACAGGGAGGTGGGAGGTGGATTTTGTTTATTTTTTTAGCTCATTTCCAGGGGTGGGAATTTTTTTTTAATATGTGTCATGAATAAAGTTGTTTTTGAGAATAAAAATTGTTCGGCCTTTTGGGTGTAAGGATTATTTATCGTCCTCTCTTAGGTCATAGATGCCTGTTCTTTGGAAGTACTAGTTATATGGAGGGGAAGTTCCTGCTTGTGAATTAAAGAGTAGGATTAGTTAAATTACAACTAGCAGGAACATATGTGTTTAGTTGAAGATGATGAGTTTTCTGAATAGCATGTAACCCTCATTGGCATTTGAGAGGTAAATTAAATGAGCTTGGGAAAGGAAAAAAATATGCAGATTAGAATGACTTAATACTGCTGTGTGTGCCTGACATATATACTTACATGCCTATGAACTGTCCACACAAGCAGTCCTAGATTCTTAGATTGGAGTCTGAGTATTTCTTGTCTTCTGTATCTTGAGGTAGGCTCATGCAAAAACAAGACACGTTTAGCTAACTGCGAAGCTTGTTTTCTCTAACCATGCAGTGACCACTTAACATGTTAGCTTATTTTGCATCATTTTATTAGGACTTAACTGTCTTTGTAAGTCTTGTTGCATAGTTATGCAGCCATTCTAACCTAATTTCTCCATTTTATATTCTAATTTCAGATTGGTCTTAAAATCCTTGGGCCTCGTGGGTTCGAGACCCGCCTGGGCAACTTGGTGAGACCTCGTCTCTACAATAAATCAAAAATCAGCGGGGCATGGTAGCATGCGCCTGTAATTCCGGCTACTCGGAAGGCTGAGGCAGAAGGATCGCCGGAGCCCAGTGGGTTGAGGCTGCGGTGGCCGGGAGCGGCCACTGTACTCCAGTCTGGGCGACAGTGAGACTTCAATTAAAAAAAAAAAAAAAATCCTTGGGCCTACATCACACCCCAGCTAAAGCCTTCATAGACTCTTCATTACCTGTAGAATTTTGTAGTATTTCATTCTATGTATTTTAGCATTCACTTCTGTGCGTGAGGTGTTTTGTTTCTGTTCTTGAGGTGTTCATGATTGCCTTTGACCTGAATGTTCAAAAAACTGGAGGTTATGCTGGATGTGGTGGCTTATGCCTGTAGTCCCTGTAATCACAGGCGGGAGAATTACTTGAGGCCAGGAATTTGAGACCAGCCTGGTCAACATAGAGAGATCTGCATCTGTACAGAAAAATAGCACAAGCTGTGATGGCACAAGCCTGTATGAACCTATAGTCCCAACTATTGGGTAGCCTTAGGTGGCAGGATCATGAGCCCACAAGTTCCAGGCTGCAGGCTGCATTACTGCGCTCTGTCCTGGATAACATTGTTAAGAAAATAATAGGTTGGCTGGGCTCAGTGGCTCAGTCTGTAATCCCAGCACTTTGGGAGGTTGAGGTGAGTGGATTGCCAAATAGATTAGATAGATAGATAGATAGATGATAAATAGATGATTGATAGACTAAAAAACCATGAAGTAAATGATAAAGAGACAAGAACAATTTGTCCTGAGTGCACAAGTGATTAATTCTGTTTAGGAAATCAAGAAAGGCTTCATGACTGTAGTACTTGGCTTACAACTTTGAAGGAACTCTGCACGTTCGAGACCAGCCTGGGCAACTTGGTGAGACCTCATCTCTACAACAAATCAAAAATTAGCTGGGTGTTGGTAACGCGTACCTGTAGTGCTGGCTACTTGAAAGGCTGAAGTGGAAGGATTGCTGGAGCCCAGCAGGTCGACACTGGGGTGGCTGTGAGCATGTACTGCTCTCCAGCCTGGGCGACGGAGTGAGACTCCTGACTCCAAACAAACAAAAATTGTAGGTTAAAGAAATACTCTGGGCTGGGCTTTGGGAGGCCGTGGTGAGTGAATTGCCTGAGCCCGCGGGTTCGAGACCCACCTGGGCAACTTGATGAGACCTCATCTCTACAGTAAATCAAAAATTAGCTGGGTGTGGTAGCATGCACCTATATGTAGTTCCAGCTACTTGGAAGGCTGAGGTGGAAGGATCTCCAGAGCCCAGCAGGTCGAGGCTGCGGTGGCCAGGAGCGGCCACTGCACTCCAGTCTGGGTGACAGAGTGAGACTCCCGACAAAAAAAAAATAGCACATTTTAGTTTTTGGTCATTTATTATGCTACCTCGAATCATTAGGCATTTGAAGTCTATCTTATCTCCTAATCAGGTTCAACTAAAGTAGTGCCTGGTGATTTCAGTGTGGAGAATTCTTCAGAGGCTGATTAGCAAGAGGCTGGATAAAGTGTTGCTAACTGTTCTGGAAGAAACTGAAACATCCTGTCTTGGTGATATTAATGCTGTAACGGTCTCATCTGTCCACCAGGGAGCGCTGGCTAGCTCTAAACGATCCCTATAAATTGTTGGATCTTGAAGGGTGAATGCCATCTTTTGACCACAAGTTTTGATTTTCTCTATTAGGCGATTGCACTCTCTTGTCCCTTCTCTTCTCCATTCCTACTTTCATTTCTTTTGTAGTTCCCCATTGACATTGCATTACTTCTGGCAGACGTATCTGGCTTCAAACTTATTGCCAAAAAGGTACCTGTGGTACCACCAATAAGTACAAAGTACAAACTATGACTAAGGCCTTTTCCAGTTTAATCCTGATTATAATTCTTTGCCACATCTTGCCCCACATCTGATGCATTATGCCTTCTAGTTGACATTTTATTTTTGCTTATCCCTCATGCTGTTCCCTTCAGCCTGGTATGCCCATCCCAATTTTTCTCTCTCTCTTTTTGAGACTGGGCCATAGCTCTTTTTCCCAGGCTAGAGTGCAGTGGCATGATGATGACTTACTGCAGTCTTAAACTCCTGAACTCAAGCAATCCTGCCTCAGCCTCCTGAGTAGCTAGGGCTACAGGCACGCATTATCAAGCCCAGCTAATTTTTTTTTTTTTTTTGAGTTGGAGTCTCACTCTGTCGCCCAGACTGGAGTGCAGTGACCACTCCCGGCCACCGCAGCCTCGACCTGCTGGGCTCCGGCGATCCTTCCGCCTCAGCCTTCCGAGTAGCCGGAATTACAGGCATGCGCTACCACGCCCGGCTGATTTTTTGATTTATTGTAGAGATGAGGTCTCGCTGCCCAGGCGGGTCTCGAACCAGCTAATTTTTTGTAGAGATGAGTTCTTGCTATGTTACCCAGGCTGGCCTCAAACTCCTGGGCTCAAGATCCTTCTGCCTTGGCCTCCCAAAGTGCTGAGGTTACAGATGTGAGCCACCGTGCCTGGCCCCCTTCCCAGTTTTTCTATCAAAATCACACATATTGGCTGGGCATGGTGGCTCACGTCTGTGATCCCAGCACTTTGGGAGGCTGAGGTGTGAGGATTGCTTGAGACCAAAAGTTTAAGACCTGCTTGGGCAGCATTGCGAGACCTCGTTTCCACAAAAAATTAAATCATTAGCCAGGTGTGGTAGCATGCACTTGTAGTCCCAGCTACTTGGGAGCCTGAGGTGGAAGGATTGCCTGAGTCCAGGAGTTAGAGGCTGCAGTGAGCTGTGCATAGTAGGCTGGGTGACACAGTGAGATCCCGACTCAAAAACAGTCATGCATATCCTTCAAAGTTGTAAGCCAAGTACTACAGTCATGAAGCCTTTCTTGATTTCCTAGACAGAATTAATCACTTGTGCACTCAGGACAAGTTGTTCTTGTCTCTTTATCATTTACTTCATGGTTTCTTAGTCTGTCTATCTGTCTATTGTCTATCTGTCTATCTGTCAATCATCTATTTATCATCCCTCTATCTAATCTATTTGGTTGAAGTCTCACTCTTGCCCAGGCTGGAATGAAGTGGCATACTCATGACTTACTGCAACCTCAACCTGTGCTCAGGTGATCCTTCTGCCTCAGACTCCCAATTATAGGTGGGTGCTGCCACACTCGGCTAATTTGTTTTTTGTTTGTTTTTTGTAGAGACAAGGTCTTGCTTGATGATGCTGGTTTCGAACTCCCGATCTCAAGTAATCAATCCTGCTTCGGCCTCCCAAAGTGCTGAGATTACAGGTGTGAGCCACTGCATCCAGCCCTTCATGGTTTTATAATGAAAAGAATTACATTCCTGCTTCCCCACTAGACTGTACAGTTTTGAGGGTGTGGATTGCGACTGTGTCTGCCTCACAGTGCCTGGCACTTAACAGGTGCTCAAAAGATGTTTATTCACCTTGGGGTTGCTGTTCCTGTCCCGGGCAGGAAGTAATACAGTAATGTTTCCTGTGCCCTGGACCTGTTAGCTCTATCCTTATAGGATTCAGACTTCCTGCTTTATTTGGTCTGTCTTCATTTT